TGTGCATGGGAGAAGCATCCTGGTGCTGAGCCCTCTCCCCTCTAGCCTACAGCTTGAACCTGAAGGTGGTTTCTGTGTGGACAGCAGCCTGCAGAAACAGAAGCAGGAATTCAAAGCAGGTCAGATGGCTCTTACAGTGCATTTGGGCATGGTATATTCATGGGAGAGCAGGAAGTTTCTGAGATTGGGTCCCATGCAGGGTATCTTAGCCTTAGGTACTCCCTCAACAGAGGCTGTGCCCAGAACACTGTCCCTCTCTCTTCTATGTGTGTGCCAGATCAATCTGAGATGCTTCGGTGAGTCCAGCAACTCCCAAAGGAACCAAAATTCTTAACTTTCCAACTGACCAATCTCAAGTGCAAAGGTGAGGAGGACTTGGGTGTGGCTGTCCCCATTTTTCTGCCGGTGGCCCTCTGGGCAGCTTCTCAACCTCTTCTTCTTTCTTCCCCTCAGGCTTTGAAAAGTCCTGCTGTCCCCTTAACTGGCTGGAGCATGAGGGCAGCTGCTAGTGGATCTCTCAATTTGGGATGTCCTGCAGGGAGGCTGACAAGTACTACCAGCTGGAGAATGCCCACCTGGTGGTTATCAATTCTAGGGAGGATCAGGTAGAACCTCTTGTCTTTAGTTCCCAAGACATGTCTCATTTAGGGAAATGGTTAACAACCTTGACTATACATTGGAACCACCCCTGAGCCTTAGTAACTATTTCCATCTGAACCATGCCCTCAGAAATTTAATTGGCCTGAGCATTGGAATAAATATGTGAAATGCCTCAATTGACTTAATGCTTAAAGTTCAGTACCTAGTCTATGAAGTTGGCTTGGATGAGTAAAAATCACCTTTGCCTTTCTCTCACCCCAGGATTTTTCCAGGGACTTAAAGCCTCCTCCTATACCTGAATAGGCCTTAGTGTCCTTGAAAGAGTTCAGAAATGGATGAACAGGACCAACTATGGCACCAACTTCAAGGGAGTACCCCCTGGTTTTCTGTGCCCCATGTCCTTAACCAGCTCTGCTCCTCAGGAATCTGATCTAGATGCCTTCTTCCCAGACTTAAATCCTGCTCCACCCATCCTTCCTGGCTTGCTGTTGTTCTCTCCCCTCAGGAACTGGATGCCAACCAGCCAGATGATTGGCATGGGCACAGGCTGGGTGGAGGCAAGGATTGTGCCAACTTACCTAGATAGCAAGTGGAATGACAATGTCTGCCAGAAACCCTACCCGTGGGTCTGTTAAGTCAACCTGAGCAAGGACAGCTGGGAGTTACTGAGATGCTTCTTTTAGACCACTAGGCCGTGGAAATGGCAGTGGAGAGGGCTTCTTCCCCAGAGATCCCTACCAAGACCTATCTGGGAGACAAATAAGCCCTGAGAGACTAGAAGCACTATCATCCTGAATTTTTTCTCTTTAACCTTAAAAATACAATAAGAGTTCCTGAGGTTCCCCCCCCCCAACTTTTAAAATCAATTTTATTGAGTAATAACTGTTTTACACAGCAAAATGTACCTATTTAAAGTGCAGAGATGACTTTTGACAAATAGAAACACCTAGTTAATAACTACTCCAATCAAGATATAGGACATTTCTATCAGCCCCCAAAGTTTCCTCATTTCCCTTTGCAATCTAACTGCCTCCCCTCCCCCAGGCAAGTAATAATCTGTTTTATTTCACTTTTGATTGGTTTTGTCTGTTTTAGAATTTCATATAAACAAAACCATATACTATATGCTATTTTGAGAGACCTTATATGTTTTGTGTAATCTGATTTTTAGCAACCTAAAAATGGCAGAGCAGAGAAACTACGTGAGGCCTTGGAAAGTCCTATATTATTGTAAAAGAGCATTTTCTTCTCATATAGATTTGAATTCACATCTTTTTGTCACTTAAAAGCTGTGCAAACTTAGGATGATCAGGAGAGCACATGGGGCACATGATGATCAGGAGAGACATGGGGCACAGAAAACCAGGGGTACTCCCTTGAAGTTGGTGCCATAGTTGGTCCTGTTCATCCATTTCTGGATTCTTTCAAGGACACTAAGGCCTATTCAGGTATAGGAGGAGGCTTTAAATCCCTGGAAAAATCCTGGGGTGGTAGGCAATGTTTAATTTCTCTGAAGATCCCAGAGTTGTTGAAAGTAGATAATATTCCTAGGTGTATCAGTCAGATATTGCTGTGTAACAAACCACCTCAAAGTTCAGTGCTGATACAATAAAATATTTATTATAGTTCATGAGTCTATAGGTTGGCTGGGTAGTCTTCTGGTATGATCAGGTTAGGCTCATCTTGGCTGAGTTTATTCATGTGTCTGGTCATTAAAGGATTGTTTGGATGAGGGTTGACTTCTCTGATATTTGGTTGACTATGGGCTGGGAAAATGGGGATGACTGGGCCACATTGGGCTTGTCATTTAGTGGCTGGACAGAGTTCCAAGAGTGATTAGAAGAATGCAAGGACTCCAGAGTCTTAGGCTTTTAGAGCAAAAGCATCCATTTCTGCTACATTCTATTGACCAAAGTAGATTGCAACTTAACTCCAATTCAAGGAATAGAAAAATATACTCCACCATTTCATAGCACATCAAGGGAAGCATCAGTTATTAAGAACAAGTTCATAGTTCCTACTCTCTCTTAATTAATTTAGCTATCAATTGCTATATTACCTACACCCAGAAAAATGGCCTGACATATAGGAGAATATCAATCAGTGTTAATTAAAATCAAAGAGGATAAGGTCAGATGGAAGGTATGGGGAGGGCAGGATTTAGCTCTTAGGAGGTAGCATCCCTTCACCTCTCCCTCCTAATCAAAATCACCATGAAAACCACTGTGCTGATCTTGGCAGGAAGTCTTGGCAGGAAGTGCTTAGAGGAGATGCTAGGCTGATGGGATCTAGAGAGCATAGTCCAGCATGTGAGGGATTCTGCAAGGAATAGCAGCTGGTTCTGTGGGCACCAAATATTGGAATCCAATAGGCCAAGCACACAAGGAACATGAATCCTCTGGTGGTCTTACATCTGTCAAGGGTACCACATTAGCATCCAGTCAGTAATCTGGGGTTGGAGTTGGGTTGAGGATTTGTAGAAAGAAGGAAGAATGTCAGGAAAGCTTCTCAGTCTGGAGAATTGATGTCATCAGTGGACCAAGGAGGAATTGACTCTCTGGGAGGAAATGCTGCTGTCCCTGTCAAGGTTGCACATGGACAGGCTCATTATCAGGGGCTCTCATTGATTCTCTTACATGGGCAGTGGTTGCTACTGAGTACAGCAAGGTACCCACCTTCAGAAAGACCATCACTGTGTCTGAGAGGAGAAAAGAATTGTAGGTACCTAGAAGTCTGATATTTGGAAAAAAACACCTCAGTTGTGTATCCAAATATGACCTACTGAATATTTTAATTTTGTGTCTCTCTGCATGGCTCTGACTTTCAACCTTATACATTGTATTTTTCCAAGTGAGTTTAAGATTTATGTAACTCACTGGATGTGATGGCATGCTTGTATAAACCTAGTGATTCAGGAGGCTGATCAGGAGGTCACAAGTTTGAAGCCAGCCTCAGCCATTTAGCAAGGCCCTAAGCAACTTAGCAAGACCCTGTCTCAAAATTTAAAAAAGAGTTGGGAATGTGGCTTAATGGTTAAGTGCCCCCAGGTTCAATTTATTTCCACCAGTTTTCGCCAATGGAGTCTATCCATGTACATAATAAGTATTATTTTCTCAAGGTCCCTGAATCTGCTGAAGTTCCTGGATTGTCAGGAAATAGCCTTCCTTACACAGAACAGGTACCAGATCAATTTTCTAAGAGCTTTGTGAGTAGCTTGCTCCTTAAAAATGGACTTGAAATGCCTAACTAAATAAAATGTTTCTCAAACATGATGTTCCAGGAAATTCAAATAATTCTGTTGCACAACTAGGTTTTCAAATTATATCCTGGTGAAAAGGAGGACATATCATATCAAATCTCTGAAAACAGCTTCATTGTTATCAAAAAGTACAGAGACTTAGGAGTGTTTTCCCCTGAATTAATAAGAACATAAGTGTTTAAAGAATATTTTACTAAATTAAATACTACAATCTGATTAAGAGGAAAAAAGCAAGGGTTATATTATAAAACTATAAAAATAGCATACTAAAATAATACCAATTATATTTAAATGAATGACTGAGGAAAGCCTCCTCTTCAAGCCCTCCAATGAGAATCATTTTGCACCTTTATTTCCCTTATTATCTTATGCAATCCTATTTATAATTTATTTTTGTTCTGATGGATGTTGGGTTAACGTTCAGGTTTCATGAAGTGCTTTTGTTATGGACTAGAATAGTACTAGAAATCCTGACTCAATCTGCTAATTGAACTGACTGTTGTCCAATCAATATCTACTTAGGAGCCCATCCTTGTGGGCTGGTTTTTTGAAGTAAATGTATAGAGAAAGAGGAATGAGGGAAGGGAGAAGAGGAGGAAAGAGGAAGTACTGGGGACTTCAATGGAACAAAATATATTCCACTCATGTATGCTTATGTCAAGACGAACCCCACTGTAATGTATAACTGTAGTGCACTAATAAAACATAAAAAATATTTAGTGTCATTCATGAGGCTTTGAGCCTGCCCCTCTTTGATGAAGATACTCTTTTTTTAAAAAGCCATATGCCTTATGGCAAGCTCTTCAGGCAAATATCAGAGGGAAACAGATGCTACATGTAAGGTTGAATGGCTACTGTAGATTTATTTATTACCATAACCAGCAATGTCATAATGGAGGAGAGTAGGTTATCCATTGAAGTGTAATACAGAACTATTTTAGGAGAATTTGATTGCTGTTTCCCAAAGAGTAAGAACATTTTATGACCATTGAAGGCACTGACAAATCTCCAGTGTTTTCCAATCTATCACGTGGCATATGTGATCTCTGAAATAATTTTAAATGATTTGGATTTTGCTAACATGTAATTAGCCTAGGGATGGATGAATTCCTTTTGCTCAGACAGCTCTTATCATGAAGCTCTTAAAATAGCACTGAGATACTTAAGAACATGGAACACAGTAAACAAAACTCTTTTTAAAGCACCCTTCTTTCTTTTTTTTTCTTAGTATTTTTTTTTGCACCCTTCTTTCTTTAAAGTAAAAGAAAAAATATTTTTGCTTGTCCAGTGGTCTTCTGAGAGAATCCATAAAAGACATCTTTGAATTTTTATTTTTCTGAATTTAGGACCTGATTTGGAGAGAGAAAGTTTAAAAATTTATCTGAGAAAATCAATCATTTGAGTTCTTTTTATTTTGGTACAGAGGATTGAACTCAGCGGGACTCAACCACTGAGCCACATCCCCAGCCCTATTTAATATTTTAGAGGTAGGGTCTCACTGAGTTGCTTAGCACCTTGCTTTTACCGAGTGTGGCTTTGAGCTTGTGATCCTCCTGCCTCAGTCTTCTGAGCTGTTGGGATTACAGGTGTGTGCGACCATGCCTGGCCTGATCATTGGGTTAGGATGAAGCATGAATGCATGGATGCCTGGTGTAATTGGTATATAGTGTTGACAGTGCAAAAAGAATAAACAATGCAGGAAGTAACACACTTGTAAGTAACATTGATGCATTCATCAGCAAGTATTTTTTGCTTATTTAATATTTGAGGGCATAACAAATTCAACAGAAAGCACAGAACATTATTATGATGAGGTCCAGAATTTCTGACAACTGTGCAGGCTCTCTAAGGGAGAAAGAAGAATTTTTGCAACTTCTTTTTCAGAGCAGGCTGAACACTCCAAGATCAATGTGTTATTTAA